ATTCTCCGCTGGTGATTGCCCTTACTCAGGTTGAATCCGTTCCGATGTCGCTTCTCTCTCAGGTGTACTTCACAGCCTCCTATGACAAGCGCACGGAACGCATATTCTTCGACATCTTCAACCAAAAGACATCTGTTTCAAAAGCTCAATTTGCTTCATTGCTAGGGCTTTCTGCAGACGCCTCTGTCATCTCTCCAGATTTTATCACAACGACTTAGTTGTTTCAGATGCTTTATGATATGGGTTACACCGACATTCTGACGACGGTAACAAAGATTAAGAAGTCATGTTTGCCACCACAGTGGAATGGTTTGCTTACCCTTCTCTACAAAGGTTTAGCAGAACGTGTTGCAGGGTCAGATGGGGCAAGCAAGGGGTTCTTGACCATTCTCTATGGTATCTACAATGGGATCAATCTTGATTATGGGTCACTTTTATGGGCACAACTGGTGCAGAGTCTCAACTCCTCAACGAAGCATTCTGAGATCTCTTGTGGACGCTTTTGGACGTTGATTACACACAGAGCGATTCAGACCTTTCAGATTCCCGTTATGGAAGGCGCTCTGCGGTCCTCCATAGCAACTTTTCACACAGTAAAAATTATTGTGTCTGATCCCACAAAGTTCGCATTCATCGGTTCGATTCCTGAGTCAATGAGCCGATGCGTCTCCAATGAAAGTAATGTGATGAAGGATTACAAGAAGTTGACTCCTTCCGGTCCTCGCATTATCACTCCAGAGATGCAGAGCTCACTGGATGCTGCTGACAAGCCAGCGAAAAGAGGGAAGAAGGTTGACAACAAAGGAGAAAAAGGGGGTCAATCCTCAAAGGTTTCCACCCCTAAGAAGCGAAAGGCAGCAAACGTCGAGCCTTCTACTCCAAAAAAGCGAAGGGTTAAAAATCAAGCTAGACGACCGAAGTCTCCTTCTTCAACAAGCGATTCTGAATATGTTCCATCTGATGGGGAACTAGATCCGAGAGATGTTGAGCTGGAATCAACTGATGATGAAGCAACCGAAACCGATAGTCCATCAAGAGGTAATTCGCCTCCACCCTCACCAACTGATCATAGCAACCGAACTTCGCCTCCTCGCTCTGTTCCACTTTCGGTTCCTATCACCATTGCACCTTGTCCTCCACCTATAACATCTACAATCGCTTCAACCATCCCTATTCCACCACCACTGTTCTCTACAACAACTACTACCATAACCACTACTACACCTGAACCCACTGTTCATGTCAACGTATCTGATACGGGGGCATCTACTGTCAGTCCTACTCCACCCGTTACCTCAACTCCTTTAACCCCACCTCCATCACCTGAACCTGTTCTAGGCGGTGAGGACTTGGAGTTTGATTCTACTTATTTCAGTCATTACCGTGTCCAAAGCGATGATGATGAAGACGCCCCACTTACCAAAAGGCACCTCAAGGTTGTGACTGACAAGATTGATCAGTTACTGTCCTCGTCCTCTGCTGGTGCATATTCCGAGGAATCCCTTAAATCCTTGTTCTCTTCAGTTGTACAAGAACATGCTACCTCAATCTCCAATGCTGTAAAGGCTATTGATGCTTTCACCTCACAATGCCAGCAGGCTTCGCTTGCTGTTGAAGCCTCAACCAAAGACTGCAAGGAAGCGACCACAAAAGTCGAAAAACTAATTTCTGAAGCTCAATTATTTTTAGATTCCTTACAGGCGGCAGCTCAGAAAAACGCCCAAACAGTGAACGCATCTGTTGACAATCTCACGCGTTCACTGGAGGCAGAGAAGAAAAATCTTGAAGTGGCTCGAAAAGCTATTGAAGCTGCTAACAAAGAGCTTCATACTAAAGTTGATAATCGTTTTACTCAGCTTGAGGCCGAGCTTGCAGTAGAAAACCGAGTGATGGATGAGCTGGACAAGCGAACTTCCCAGCTCAAAATTCAGAATCTAAAGCTCCGAACCGCAAACAAAGAAATTGACGATTTGAAGTCTGAGCGAGAGGTGATTTTGAAGCTCAGTGGGTGATGTCCATTCCATTTTGTTGCATCTTCTTGACGCCCATGACTCCATTTTGACTATCTCCATACGACGCCACTTAGCTGAGAAGCTACGGCCTGCTTTGGATATTTTTAAGTAGGATTGAAGGTGTTCCGGAGACTAGTATTCATCCGAAACAAGGGGAGAAAAGGTTACACAAGGCAAGGCTGGCAAGGCTGGCAAGGCTCAATCTCAACCCCCTCCAGAACCAAAAGCTACTGCTGAACCGAAGGATAATGTAGCTTCGGTCAGTAAGAGGGAAAAGAAAAAGAAGAAGATTGGAGAAGACGATGAAGATGATGATGATGATATTGAAGACATCATGGAAGGAAATCCTTCTAAACTTGATCAGAAGCCTACTGATAAAGAACTTCTGGAGAAGCTTCAGAAAGAAAAAGAACTTCTCCAGAAGGAGTTGAAAGAAAATGAACTCCTAGAGAAAAAGAAGTCCATGTTTCCGGAATGGACTATTGAATCACTCCAGAGGGAAGTCATTGATGAACCGAGCACTCACTGGCTTGAACCTGTTATGCCGTTCGGTCTTGAGAATTCGAAGGATGCACAATTCGATATGCCAATCACCCGAAAGGCATTTATCTTCCATTGCTTTGACTCAACGGCTGTCGTTCCCTCTCCAGACCCGAAGGTATATCAGGATTTATTAGAGTTTTATCTTGAGTTCGCTCAGCCACAATACTTGACCTGGAGCACACAGAAGATCACTACGGTCAAGGTATTGAAGCCCTCTTCGGCAGGGAAATTCGTTAATGTTAAATTCAAAGTGACCAGAGGCTCGGATAGCTCGGTCCATACTATTTCACTGGCTGATCTACCAAACTTGAACCCGTACGACTGGATACTCCTCAACAATATTTTAATGACTAATCCTCAGGAGTATCAGCCAATCATTGATCACGTCAAGCGAATGCTTGTTTGTTACATTCACGAAGTAGCAAAGATGGATCAAGAAATCGCATCTGCCATTCACAAGCGAACAACGATAAAGCCGATTGGAAGGACTGGCGATGTGAATGTGATGGTCAAGGGCAAAATTGATCCCAAGTTTCATACTGTGATGTTCATTAGGGGCGAAGGTCAAAAGTGTCTGTTCGCTCTGATTGACAAGCACCTGTTCTCAACTGCTTGCTTGGAGCACATTTTGGAGATCATACACAGGTGTAATCAGAACTGTGAAGCTGGCAAGAAGTTGTTCACCGATATGCTTCGATGGTACATTCAGTTTCGGAAGACACTTCTTGCGATCATCCCTCGGCTGTTCAAGGTTGTGAAGAAGGTCAATGTCACTCAACCGAAGTAGTCTCTCGCTTCAATTGACGCAAATGGGGAGATTGTTGGGTCTTGATGTTGCGTCTTGGGCTCGGTTCTAAGTCCATGTATAGTTTACCGGGTTTGGGCCTGTCCAACCGTGGATAAGTATTAGGGTTAGTATAAATATTGCATGCATGTATAGCGGTAAAAGTAGTCGTAATTATAATTATTATCGTGCATTGTAACCTTAACACACCTCTACAGTCGAAGTTCTTCATCGAGCTCTTCTGAGGTGTGATTGATTAATCATTCGACATCCTTGATCTATTCTTGTGTTCTTTGCATAGCTAAATACTGTTTTTCTGTTTGAATCTATCGATCTACAATTCATTTATCTCAACAAATAGAATGATTTTTACGTACCAAAATTCAATAAAAACATGTTTTTAAGTTGTTCGTAACATGTAAAGTTATGCTATAAATAACTATTTTTGTTACCCAAAAAATAGTTTCTTTTAGCCCAAACAATAACTTCTTTAACCCAAATAAGGTAGCCTAAAATCAATCGGGGGCGGGGGTAAGAAGGGGAATTTGGGGGCTGGGGCGGGGGTGGAAAGGATGGAGATTTCGGGGACGGGGGTGGGGGCGGGGGCGCGGGATGCAATCCTCATCCCGTTTTCTCCCATTGACATCCCTAATCTAACAACCTAACATGATAAAAATCGAGTCTTGAACACTTACAAAGGTCCAGAAGAGTGCTATAACTAAGGATGGGGACTTGCTTGCTGAATCTTAGCTCACTTCTTATTCTTTCTTCCTTCAATGGCTTCAAAGAACACCAAAAAGGGCTTAAATAAAGGAGGAAGGGGATTAGGGTTTCTTAGATCTCAAGGAGGCTGAGGATGAGTAAACCTAGCTTCCTTATTCCTTTAAATAGGGGGCAAAACATGGAAATAGGGTTTATCATTTGCCAGTTGGCACGTAGTGTCCATATATTGCCATAGTGTGGCGGCTTAAATGAACTCGTGATCTTATTTTGATTTGCCACGTCGTGGCATCTCAACCACGCCGTGGCAAACCCTAAAATGCTAAAATTGAAAATGAGAAGCATCTCGGGATCTACGTGTTATAGAAGCAAACAACGTAATTAACCCAACGAAGTTGATATCATTGCTTATATCTACACCAAAACATGTGTAGTATGGAGCAATATATTGCATAGATCCCTCATTACGTTGCCGTTTCCCTCCACTAGAAACTAACACTCGAAAAAAATCTTGTATACATACACATTCTGGAACGTATAAGAAAACTATCAAACAAACAAATATGCAATATATTGCATATATGGAACAAAAACACACAAATACCCTAAATTTACCTCTGGAACAGCCCTCCGGATGTACGGCCATTTCGGAGTAAATTCCGGAATAAATATTTTAGTCTGGAACGTACGAGGTGTCAGATTCCGGACCGAATTCCTACCAACCACCACCACCAACTCCGAAACAAAAATAAATACTTTGGAATATCCTATTCTGGAATACTTTGAACGACCAATATCAGGAATGACCTTACATACTCCGAAATACGATATTCCTGAGAAAAAAAAGGCCATTTCTCAAAAATAAATAAATAAATAAATAAAAATAAAAAATTATATAAGGATTAGATTAACCCCATTTCCCTATTATTTTCCTAAGTTGTACGAGAGTTAGCAAAATAAAATATTTACAAAAAGATAAATGCAGAGAAAGATGCGGAGAACACACCAAGCGCACAATAACAAAAACAATCTAACCTCTTCGAACGAGTCATTAATTTCCTCAATACTTCTTGTGCTGTTGGAAACCTCCTCCCACAATTCCTGTTTCCTCGAACATCAACAACACCGCTACACTGAGCAACATCAAACTCACATTGAGGAGGTATACTATCATCAATCAACAACTTGCTTTACGATTTGATGGATTTTCGTTAGTTTCTTTTCAGATTTCGATTATATGCTCTTCGTTTTAATCGATGTATCAATTGTACCGATGCAAACACCTACCTTTTTCTTATAATGTTTAATGTTCATTAATGAAATTTCTTTTAGTTATAAGGATTATCATCTCTTGATTATCTATAATGTCGTTTGATTGATTATTTGATAGACTTCGTCGTGCTGTTGATTCTGATTAGTTTATCTTGAGATTTCGATTGTCTTCTTCGTTTCTCTTGAGCACCGCTTGATTATCTGTGATGACATTTGATTGATCGTTTCTAGTAGTGATGCGTGCGATTAGTTTTGAGTTCATCAGAGTATCAATTCATATTTCGATTTAAATGATAGTTTCTTTTGAAATTTTGATCGTGTTTTTTGTTTAAATTGGTATATGAACTGCGCCGATACCATCGCTAAAGTTTTGATGATGTTTAATGCTCGTTTTTTAAATGTTTACTTCGGATTAGTGGCGTTTGATTGTTCTCAAGACTTGATACTGATGCTTGCGTTTTGTTTTGAGTTCTTCAGAGAATGATTCTCTATACACATATTATCAACAACATTTGTTCCTTTTGTTTGTGTGTGTTTGTTGATCAGATTTTATAGATTTAAAAATGTTTTTACCTAATCACGATCAAGAAATCACTGCATGTTTTGTTATTGTTAAAAAGTGGATTAGTTTTCATACTATAATGACACTTAATGATTTGTTTAACCATTATTATTGGCCATAAAATTTGGACATTAGGTGAAGTCATGATGTTCTTTGATAAAATATGTATGTTTAAAGTTATTACTTTTGACTAATCATATAATAATCTGATTTATCTTTCAAATTTGTCATGAGCAGATTAAAAGGACTTCAATTTGGGACAAAAGAGTGAAAGACAAATCTTCCATTATGAAATATAAGAAAGGAAGTATGGTGGAGGTGTTGACCAAAGACAACTTTTGTCACCATTCTTGGCGTTGTGCCAAGATACTTTCCAAAAATAGCCACAATTATACTGTCGCTTATGATGTGTACCCTGGTTTTACCAACAAAGAAGACATAGAACAAATATCCATGAAATCAATTCGACCTTGTCCACCTTTATTAAAAATCACAGAATCTTGGGTTCCTGGTGATGTAGTTGAAGTCTTTCACAATCTTTCATGGAAGATGGCAATTGTTTTGAAGGCTTTTAATTTAGATCAGTTTGTAGTCAGATTAGTTGGATCTTCCCATGAACTCAAAGTAACCAAATCAGAACTGCGTGTGCCACAATCTTTTCAAAATGGTGAATGGATTGTTCTTGACAAGTTTAAGACATTAATAAACTTGAATTCTTATAAAGATAAGGTTTTGAAGTACAAAGAAGATGTTGTGAGTAATGATAGTGTCATGAGTTCTAGTGACAGTTGTAGCATTTATAGCTATAATGGATCTGATTGTTTTGAAGATATTGAAAGGCGTGATAGTGATGCAGAGTCCGTTTGTGAAATGGAATATGTTGATGATGATGATGGGTGTGTTTCATTGGAGGATGAAATCCATAGACTTGAGTTGAATGCATATCGATGCACAATGGAGGCATTACATGCATCGGGACCTTTAACATGGGAAAAAGAAACAATGGTAACAAATCTTCGTATGTTGCTTCATATATCAAATGATGAGCATTTGATTCAGATTAAAAACTTAATTTCTTCAGCTAGTAGTAATACTTGTAATAAATGACAACCAACCTGACTCTTTTCTTGGTAAAACTCAATTTTCCTTCACATAATTGTAAAAAGCATTTGTACATTTTTGCTTCTATTGTTATATAAGAAAATGAAAATTACTGGTGTTCAATAAATTTGGGTAGTTATATGATGGTTGTGCGCATATTAAATGATTATTTTGGGGGAGATTATTGATGCTTAGCCTTGATTTTCCAGGGCCAAAGTACTGGCTTGAACATCTTTTCTAGTGAAAGCAGGATCATATGACATGTGCAGAATCAGATCAGACAGATTTATATCTGAGTATACATGTAAGTCTCAAATTATAGATTTTCTTTAAAATACAGGAGCAAGATCTCACACGATGCTCAGGTATGGAAAAGCTTTTACTTTAGATTCTTTACCTTGTTTTTTTCGTAAATTTTTCTTATTGGTAAATTATTTTATTTTGGTTTCTTTTCGTTCCCAAAGATCACGTTTGTTACATGGGACAAGGCAAGACAAAACAGATTGTAGTAACATGTACTATGTTACTAGAGTGATGTTAGTATTTCATATTTAACCCAAAAAGGTGGGATAGGCTTTGCCCTCGATCTCTTGTATGTGCAAAAGACGTGAATGTCTTCAACATGCTCATCATCAAACATATCCACAAACGTCGATGATTGGAATTGATGCATTTTCGATTTCTAACATTAAATGAAACCTTGCAAATCTTTGTGGTAGATAAGGGGTTAGGGGTGGATCCAAAGGGTGTCTAAGGCATGTAGTTCACACCTAAAAAAAAATAGTATTTTGGTTTTTGTAGTGTAAAATAAAGAGTGAATTGCATTGGTAACGTATATCTTGATTTTGTTTTTGAAATAATAATAATGCATACCTAGGTTAACACTTTACATATTTGACGATATAGGTTATTGATTGAGGTTAAAAAAACGTTTGAGAAAAAGATGATGTAGTCAGAAAAAATGGAGGGAAAGAATAAAAAGGACGTATTTGTAAGGGCAAATTAATCATTCGATCACTCATGCATGTGTCAAACCGTACGTTTAGTCTATATTTTCAAAAGTTAATTCGGATTGTTCCTGTGTTTACTTCTTCTTGCACGCTTAGTCTCTATTGACATGAAATGACTATTTTACCCTTAATAATTTCTTTTTTCATTTTCATTTATTTCTTTATCAGTTTTAAATTAAAAAAAAAAAAACAAATATCCCCACCCCTCCCCTTCCATTTCCCCATAGATTACCCATCATCACCTATCACCGCCAACACCTTCGGCTGCACCACCATCAACGTCAGCACCTTCGACACCACCACCTATCACTACCAACTCCTCCTCCAACCAAACCATAATCTAAAAACCATTCACATGCCTTTGCCTTCGACTTCTTCCCCGATTTGAAACCCTAAGCGGAAATCAATATGAACATATGTGAAAAAGGAGATCGATCTGAACATATGTCGACGACTTCTTCCTTGATCTGAACCTTGCACAAGCCTTCTGCCTCGATCTGAACATATGTCGACAGTTTCTTCGGCGATCTTAAAACCCTAGCCGGTCGGCGCACAGGTGAAGAAGGAGATTGACGACTTCAGGCGTCACTGCAAGTGCAAATCATTGGTGGCGATTTGAAATCCTAGGCAACGATTTGAAACCCTAAGCGGCGACAGTGATGGTGTTCGTGAAAGCTAGATCTGGCATATCTTCTAGGTTGAAGGTGGTCGATCGGACAAAAGTTGTGCTTATTGTTGGTGGTTGAAAGTGCTACAATATGTGTGTAGGCTATTATTTTCCGGCAAGGTGGCGGAGATCTTAGATCTGAGACGAGGGAATATCAGGTGATCATCAGAGAAGAAGGGGTATCTGATTGGAGAATGAGGAGGAGGAGAGTGAGGTTTCGGTTCTGAACAATGAAAATGGTGGTGAATGGTGCTCTGACGATGGTGGTCGGCGGTTCTCCGGCGATGGTGGTGGTCGGTGGTCTCGTGGTGGAAAAGCAGTGATGGTGTTAGTGATTTTTTTTGTAGGGTGAGGTTTTGTTGTTCATAACGAGAGAACCGATGAATAAGGGGATGAACCATTTTTTCTAAATATAATTACTAACAATAAATAAATAGAAAATAATTGGAAAATAAATAAACAAGGGTATTATCGTCATTTCAGATTTGACATGGACTAAATTCGTAATAAAACCATATATCAGGAATGAAGCGTGCAATTTTTAAACTAACGACGGTCCGAGTTAATTTTTACGTGCAAATTTTAAACAAACGAGAGACTGTCCGCGTTAATTTTTAAAAATAGTGATTGAACGTGTGTTTTGGCACATGCACAATGGACAATTCATGCAATTTAGCATATTTGTAACGAGTGTCTAATTACTATTATGTCAACTTTCTCTATCATGTGATTAAGTCATGTCACCATTAAGTTTATTAGGAAAAGAAACAATACCTTGGTTCGTACTTTGAAGGGGCTGATAAAAAAATTAAAAATCAAACTCTTCAAATTTGAAAAAAAAAAGACTTAGATTTCTTAAGAAAACCTCAGTGGGGCGTAGAGTTAAGATTGTTTGAATTTTTGACATATTTTCTTGTGCAAACGTAGTTTAAAGTGTGTATGTATATGTGTGTGAGAGAGAAGTAATATCTAATTCATCACTTCCTGTTATCTAAATCCAAAGAATCTAATATATTATTCATATTGTTGTAGCACTGATTTTTTTTTATTAAAAAATATGTTTTTAGCTTTTCAATCAAAATAGAAAAGAAAGGATATGGATTAATGGAAAGATGAGAGAAAGAAAGAAAAAAAATATTGATGATATACAATTCCAATATGGAAGGTCTACAAGTCATCTCACAAAAAAAGTTGTGTAATAAAGCATTAATACGAATTAAAAAGATAAGGGCTATGATTAAATGGCATAATTATAATATAATTATGCATCATTTACTCACAATCTTCCAATGTTCCACTTTGTAGATGGTTTCGATAACTTGTTTACTCAGTCCAATAGACATTGTGGCGTTTTCACAAGATCTCTAGGAGTTTCAGTTTACGAGTTGAATACCTTGTTGCTTAATGCAACACCCGTGAATCAGGGATAAATGTTTGAATGTTCAATTTTTAATATAAATTCTATTGGAAAAACCTGATTATTTGCATCTCTACCTACTGGCTACTGTTACTAATAATTCACCCTTTACCTCACAACCTCTCTTACATTCATCATTCAATGCTTTGAAACATACATAGTAGTCGGTCGAGGTTTACTATCACACCACCTTTACATATTCAATTTGGGTTTGATCTTAGCAGCTCATGAGCATAGGTCGAAGTCTTTGCATAACGGTCACCTAGATTACCTTTGAATTAACTCTATGGCCTATTTTTTTGGACCTACAACATTAACCTACTAACACCACGTGGTTAAATTTTTGCTTCATATCACCAACCATTCTCCAATAGTTTATCTAGAGGCTTGTTTGCAATTTCAGTCATATAGTGTTTTTCAATCCACTCAGTGAAATAATTTTCCCATATTTAAACTTTATTGAACAAGCATATGTATCTGTTATACTTTTGATTTGGAATGATCTCTCTTTGTACATCCAAGATGCATACAGTCTAGCATATGTTTTCTTCAATCCTATTTCCAAATCATGCTACCATTCTTGTATTGTCACACTTCGCAAAGTAAATTCCCTAGCCATTTGTGTCTATATAGTTTGTAGCACAAAATTTGAGTTAAGAAGGGGGATCAAGCATGTCACCAACCATTGGTTTCATCTTATTCCATCCGATTGTTGGATCATGAATCCTATATTTGGAAATGATTTCCTCCTCATTCTCATCTTCATTTTGCCAACGATTAGCATGGTAAACTTGAACACTAAAGTCATCATCCATATAAGCATTACATAGATTTTCACCACTCAATATAATATTCTTAAAGGTGTCCTTACACTTATTAAGTAACGTAATGAACTATTCCTTTGGTTCAAGATCCATGTAAATTCCATGAAGCTCCGATAAACTTCCAACTTCGTTCAATCTAGAAAAAGGCTCATATAAACCATCAAATTTGTTGTTGGTTTATTCGTCTATGATGTAATTTTTAACTCCTACACAACATTACACCACCAATCAAATATCTTCAGCAAACACCATAATGTAAGGAAAAAAACAAAAATCAGATAACAAAATAACATTTATATGTATGCAATTTCTTCAGCGTAACACCTTTAATTACCCAATTTTTTTCTCTCATTCTTAAAACTATACCACCAATGTAACCCTTTGTTTCCTCTTAAACTCTACTTTACATGATGATTACTTGCAAAAACCCAAGGTTTCCAATTCTACTAAGTACGTAAATTTGATGTTAAGACGTAACATAGCTAAACAAGGATACATGAAGATTTAATGGACATATTGGATGTCACATCGATTAGGTCACCGATTGTGAATGGTGAAACATGATAGATGACATATATGCAAAAAAAAAAGTTAAAAAGTTTCGGTTATAATGCACCTAAAAGTGATGTTGGGTAATGTTGGGTTTTATTCAAAATCGTTTTTCCAAAAATGCTAAAAGCAACAATGAAAGCTTTAAAAATGTGAATAAAATTAAAAACTATTTTTAACACACCAATGATTCTTTTGCAAATCATTGAAGTATTAACACAACCATAGAAGAAAAAAATGTTACAACATTTTAAGACTTTGTTTCCTCATGGGAGGTTGGAAGTTGATGAAAATGAAAAAAAGACTCAAATGAGAGTTTCTCTAGAAGTATACACCAAGCAAGAGTAAGCTACTTCAATATTCTAGTATATACTTGTATTAAGTTGTTCTTAATTCATTAATACTTATACCAAATAAGCCTTAAGGAGAAGCAACTTATGAACCTTCAAATCAAGCGCCAAATTTCAAGAGAGGAGAGTGAAATAAGCTTCATATTCTTGGAATTAGCATCCAATAAAGAGAGCAAAATAGCGCAAAAGAACAACCTTTTCGTACTAGCAATGCACTCCTTTTATACATACTAATATGTACCAAAGTCAAGAAAGCATTAAAGGAAAGTACGGTAGTGTAAGATGCAAGGCAACACTTAAACTATTTCCCTCTCATGCACCTTATGGTTTGGATGCACGAAGTCAAGCGTTTGGAGTATGCTTCACTCTAACTCATAACTAGTAGTTACATGCCTAACAAAGTGGTTACTCATATTTTCCACTTATTTGTACATAACATTTATATTCATACCATATGATACTTACTAATTTTTGTTCTCTTTATTATTATTTCCTAGAAACAATAATTCTTAATATATTGGTAAAATATCATTTTCATAAAATAACATGTAACGACAAGAAATTTCAAACAAAAATTTTCATTTTTAATACTCATAAAACATATGTCTCATTATTAATTCTCAAATCAATCAACAAGTTTTCAAACAATTATTCAAATCCAGGATCCACGAACATAGCTCCATAACAAGAGTGTGTGCACAATCACGCCGGTGCCTTCCCGCGATCCTCTGAGGTACCTGAAACACATGACACATAACACGGTAAGCACAGATGCTTAGTGAGTTCCCCAAAATACCACATACAACAATTTAGCCACTCGAGGCTATACTCTGTAAGACCCTCCGGTCTATGTGTCTCAGCGGGACCCTCCAGCCCCGTAACTCGTTGGACCCTCTGGTCCGGTCTAGCTCGTTGGACCCTCCGATCCGGTCTGATTGAGAACCCTCTGGCCT